TGTCCCCGTGTCCCCCCGCAGGGGCAGCGGCCGCCATGATGCTCACACTCAGACTCTTGTTTAGACTCTTGTTTAGACTCTTTATTCGCTGAACCGGGGAACAGGGGTCACGGGAGCCTCTTACACGCGTGTCGGGCCATGAACTCGCAGGGGACGGTGACGGCCCCACGCGTGTCGCGTCAGGCCATGAACTCGCAGGGGACGGTGACGGGTCCCCACGCGGACACGCGTGTCGCGTCAGGCCATGAACTCGCGGGGGACGTGACGGGGCCCACGCGGACACGCGTGTCGCGTCAGGCCATGAACTCGTAGGGGATGGGCTCCAGCAGCTCCGGCTCCTTCCCGTTGGTCCTCACGAAGTGCGCGTCGCGGGGCGGCGCCGGCTGCGGGGAGAGGACACGCGTGTCAGCGCTCGCCCCCGCCCACGCGTGTCGCACACTCAGGGACCCGGGTGTCACAGACTCACGCAACCGCCGCTGCCCCCAGGTCCCCGATCACGCGTGTCCCACTCCGGTCCCCGTTCACACGTGTGTCCCACGCTCACCCCTGCCCACGCGCGTCTCTCCCACCTGGCGCTCGAGCTGTCCCCAGGTCCCCGCTCACACGCGTGTGGCTGATCACACGTGTCCCCCCATGTACCTGGCGCTTGAGCTGCACCAGGTCCCCGCTCACACGCGTGTCCCCCGCTCACACGCGTGACCCACCCCCACCCACGCGTGTCCCCCGCACCCACGCACCTGGCGCTTGAGCTGCCGCCAGGTCCCCGCTCACACGCGTGTCCCCGCTCACAGGCGTGTCCCGGCCCACACACCTGGTGCTTGAGCTGCACCAGGTCCCTGCTCACACGCGTGATCCTGACCACGCGTGTCCTCCCCATTCACCTAGCGCTTGAGCTGCACCCGGGTCCCCGATCACGCGTGTCCCACACTCACCCCTGCCCACGCGTGTCCCCCCCACGCACCTGGCGCTTGAGCTGCACCCAGGTCCCGCGCTCGCGGGCCTCGCGCTTGCGCCGCTCGTTGTCCTTGACGCGGCGCAGGAAGCTGTCGCGGCTCTTGGAGTGTTTCACGTGCTCGATGCGCACGTTGATGCGCTTGGCCAGGATGCGGCCCCTGCGGGCACACGCACACGCGTGGGGGCGGGCGGGGACCCGGCCCCCCGCCCCGGCGCGTCGTCTCCCGGGGGGTCCCGCCCCCCTGGGCCCCGCCCGCGCGTGTCCCCCGCCTCGTCCCGGCCCGCCCACGCCTGGACACGCGTGGGCATGGGTGGCTGGGGGGGGGGG